GCGCGTTCACGACAGTATCATGACGTGAGCGTGTGGCGGCGCTGACCCAGATCCGACGTAATGACGGAATGTCATTATGTCATTTTCACACTAATTAATGACAGAATTTTCATTTTTGGGTGTACTATCCCTTTAATTATTACAAGATCGGAGCTGAGTTTACAAGTAATTATGAGTTCTGCGAGGATGTGAATGCTTTTAACAAATGGGAACTAATAAATCATGCGCAACAAGGCCAGAAACTTTAATTATGATGCTAAATGGGGGACAGCGTTGATTTCATGTTGATTTTATCACCAAAAAAAAACATTGTATCATTATGTTTACTTCAGTCCCAACAAAACTGACCTGTAGCAGTAATGAGAAGTGCTTGATAGCTTCATCATTCAGGCCATTTCCAATGAGAACATAGCCAATGGCTGAAATAAACACAAAACCGTGTTAACAGAGAACATCAACCAAAGACAAGCACAAAAAACACACTTGCCAAAGTCAAAACAATGAGCTGATACACACCAAGTTCTTCATTGGTATTTTGGTTTTCCACAGCGAAAGGAAACCGACGCTGTTCGACAAACAACTTTGCCTGATTCTGTGGTGACAGAAAGAGAGAAAGAAAAACATGTCAGGAAGTCTGTCAACCTCCAGCAATCAATCCAACCCACCAGTGCTTGCAAAAACAATGCGAAGAGACCCATAATTACAGAGGATGAGAAAAACACCTTTTTTTTGTGCTGGATAGGAAGCGTTTTGGTTTAGGCTTGACACTCTTTTTACAGTGTTCTAAGTTCTAAAGAGCAGGTGTTGAAGGAATATTCACCTGAAAATGAAAATTCTGTCATCATTTACACACCCTCACACACTTTATGACTTTCTTTCTTCAATAAAAACTCAAAAGGAAAAAATATATATTAAATGTACCAGTGTCTCTTTTTCATGCACTTAAAATGAATGGGGAAGAAAAAACAACATTAAAGCACATTTTATGGTGCTTTTTTATTTTATTTTAGAGCTTAAAAGCCCCAGAACCCAGTCACTTAATCAATATTCTTCAAAGGTTCTGTGTTCAAAAGAAAGCAAGTCAAACCGAGAGTAAATAAACAATGACAGCATTTTCATTTTGGCCTGAACTAATCATTTAACACAGTGCAATATAATGCAAATGCAACTCACAAGGATTTTCTCTGCATTGAGTGAAAAGATGGACTCGCAGGGCGGGTTGCTCCCCTCTTCACAGTCCGGATCCTCCAACTGCAGGATAGCTGACTCTGAGGGACCAAAAACCATTCACCGGATGTGACAGATAAAAGGCTAACCAGATAACTTTGGCTTGAACTGAACGTAATGAGTGTTGTTTTTCAAAACAATACACCATCTAGATAACTGCTTTCTGACTGGCTTTGATAGCCAGTATAGATTTGTCCATGGATTTTAAAGGGATAGTTCACCCAAAAAAAACAAAAACAAATTTTTTAAATAATTTTCTCACCCTCATGTTGTTCCAAGCTTGTATGAGCTTCTTTCTTCTGTTGAGCACAAAAGATGATATAGAGAATATGATCAATGAGAACATAGCCAATGGCTGAAATAAACACAAAACCGTGTTAACAGAGAACATCAACCAAAGACAAGCACAAAAAACACACTTGCCAAAGTCAAAACAATGAGCTGATACACACCAAGTTCTTCATTGGTATTTTGGTTTTCCACAGCGAAAGGAAACCGACGCTGTTCGACAAACAACTTTGCCTGATTCTGTGGTGACAGAAAGAGAGAAAGAAAAACATGTCAGGAAGTCTGTCAACCTCCAGCAATCAATCCAACCCACCAGTGCTTGCAAAAACAATGCGAAGAGACCCATAATTACAGAGGATGAGAAAAACACCTTTTTTTTGTGCTGGATAGGAAGCGTTTTGGTTTAGGCTTGACACTCTTTTTACAGTGTTCTAAGTTCTAAAGAGCAGGTGTTGAAGGAATATTCACCTGAAAATGAAAATTCTGTCATCATTTACACACCCTCACACACTTTATGACTTTCTTTCTTCAATAAAAACTCAAAAGGAAAAAATATATATTAAATGTACCAGTGTCTCTTTTTCATGCACTTAAAATGAATGGGGAAGAAAAAACAACATTAAAGCACATTTTATGGTGCTTTTTTATTTTATTTTAGAGCTTAAAAGCCCCAGAACCCAGTCACTTAATCAATATTCTTCAAAGGTTCTGTGTTCAAAAGAAAGCAAGTCAAACCGAGAGTAAATAAACAATGACAGCATTTTCATTTTGGCCTGAACTAATAATTTAACACAGTGCAATATAATGCAAATGCAACTCACAAGGATTTTCTCTGCATTGAGTGAAAAGATGGACTCGCAGGGCGGGTTGCTCCCCTCTTCACAGTCCGGATCCTCCAACTGCAGGATAGCTGACTCTGAGGGACCAAAAACCATTCACCGGATGTGACAGATAAAAGGCTAACCAGATAACTTTGGCTTGAACTAAACGTATTCAAATAGTTGCATCTCGGTCAAATATTGTCCGATCCTAACAAACCATACATCAATGGAAAGCATAGGGAAAAATTGACCCTATCAAAAAATTTACCCTTATGACTGGTTTTGTGGTCCAGGGTCACAAATTACTTAAGCATGAAATTATTAAACAATCCACCAATAATAGGTAACCTAACATAACCTAATCTCTTATACACTATGGAGCACTTAAGTAAGTACATTGTGTTCTTTCATTATGTGTTACTAGGATTGTAATTCAAGACTCCTTTGGATCAAAACACAACCTGAAACAGAAGACCCAGTCACCATGGTAATTTGGAAAAATGCCGTATTTACTTCCTATAGTTATTGTTACTATTGAAAACAGTGGACTCTTGTTAATTGTGTTTTCAAGGCACTCATTTAAGTTATTTCAAAGAATACCACTATCATCTCCAATCTCCATTGTAATGCCAAGATACATCTGCTAAAAGCAATCTTGAACTCGGTGACACCCAATAAAAATGTTCTTGTTGCATGTTTATTTAGCAATTAGAAGGACATGCAAGAGGCACCGGGGTTTTGCATGCATGATCCGCATGAGTTTCTACAAGCATTTTTAGAGTTTCTGCATGTGTGACATGAGTTGCTGCATGCATGATGCGAGTTTCTCCTGTATGGTCTGAATTTCTGCTTGTATGATCAAGCTCGTTTCACTGTAACGTTAAGCGGAAGAGAGTGAAGCAGATGCACATTCTATACATCAGGACGTGGCAGAAGCTCACCGCAGTCCGCCGCATACTCCTCCCACTCGGCCGGAGAGCTGCAGCCGTGCTTGTGAAGGTCGCTGTTGAAAAAAGTCAAGGTGGAGAAATACTCGCTGGATAAAATAGCTCCGCATAAGTACAGCAGCGACAGAGCTGCCGGCACAACACCCCCGCCAGCAGGTGCCATGTTGTGAGTAATGTTATGAGCAGGTGAGGAACGGTGTAGTCTGTGTAATGTAGTTGCGTGGAACTAAATCCCTGCTTCCAGCAGTGGTGACGGAGGATAAAAGAACTACATTTCCCGTCAGTAGCCTGATAAGCCCCGCCTCTTATGGAGGTTCAGGAAGCAGTAGGCGTGTTTTAGTGCTGTCATATGGAGAATGGCACCGGGACTGTTTAAATGCGTCGAGTGTAACGAAGATGCAAACGAACTGCATCGAGATTATAGCAACGGAATACTGAAGATCACCATATGTGTGAGTGCATCATAAAGTT